ATATATATATATATATATATATATATTATGGTTTCAAAATGTTTGCAAAAGGTTTTAATTCCCAGGATCCATGTGAGTAGAGAGTGCAGCACTGTTCCTTGCAGCCGAGGGAGAGGTCCACTCTTGTCGGGCAGTGATTGATCATTATGGGCTGAGAGGTTAAGTATAAGACCATTGAGGGTAATACCTGATGGGCTAATCTTGCATTTGCCCATAGTCCCTGGGTTTTTATAAGGTGGCCTGTCCCAGGGACCACTTAGTGCAAGTGTTGGGCCCATTAGGAGCCCATGTGATGGGCTTCAGGGGGTTCACTGTCTTTTTAGTGAATTCGGTCAGGCCTTGTAACAGATGTTGGGCTAAACCCATGTGGTTGATGTGTAGATCAATGTTTGGGTCCCACGCCATACAAAGAAGCCCAACTGGTCAACAATTTGGAAGGTTAATGAGCACACAGACTTATTGGGCCTAAAGCACATTTCGAACTGGTTTAGTTAGACTAATTAAAGAGGGGCGGATCTGGGACTTACCCTATCCACTCAAAGAGTCTAGATCTGAATACAGATTTAGATCTAGAAACCTCCTAATGAGATTAGGAGAGAGCTGATCTAATCTGCAGATAAGATAAGGATTTATCCTTATCACTTAAAGAGAGTCTAGATTCAAATAAGGATTTGAATCAGGAAACTCCTAATGGGATTAGGAGCTCATTTCTTTAAGCCTATAAAAGGAGGAGGGGGCGAACCATTCAGTTCATCCAAGCATCCTAGCATCCCTAGCATCATTGAATCCTCCAAGAGATCATCAAATCCTCCAAGAGAGCTTCAACCTTCAAAGAGAGCAATCAGCAACCAAGGAGGAAGAAGCAGAGTTCGCCCCCTCTCATCTAGAAGCTACGATTTCATCATGAAGTGTGTGACATTTATCTTTGATTGGATTCGACACCCACCTGTTCTCCACTATAGGAGCGATCAAGAAGTGTTCTTGATATCAGTTTTTGGAGAAAAACTTATCTGAAGTCGTGCTCACATTCCCTCCATCGAATTCTTGCTGAAGGATTCGGTTCTTGTGAAGAACCTGTTGATTCTGCTCCACCCTATGCTGTGTCATCCTCAGTGAGAGCAGTCTTTGGAGTTTTCCTTGGGTGTGAACACCTTCATTTGATTTCAGATCTGGTTCGGTTCTTGGTTCAAGATTGATCCTTGAAAATGCAGATTTTCTAAAATAGGGAATGTGATTCCCACATGGGAGAGAGAAATTTTTGAAATTTTGCCCTACCTGCAAGGTTCGACTATCCATATGATGGATCTCTCATCCCTTCACAGATACCTCAAGAAGTTTACTAGAGTTGGTTTGCTGTTCCAGAAACATGGACATTTAAATGTGGAGGTATATACTGATGCCGATTGGGCAGGGACAGTTGATGACCGAAAGTCTACCAGTGGATATTGTCTTTGTAGGGGGAAACCTAGTCACATGGAGAAGTAAGAAACAAAGTGTGGTGGCTAGGTCTAGTGCTGAAGCAGAATACAGAGCCATGTCTCATGGAGTTGCTGAAATCATGTGGATAAGAAATCTGTTAGGAAAACTAGGTTTTACAGTTAGCAACCCTATGTCACTCTATTGCAACAATAAGGCTGCTATCAACATTACAGCTAATCCAATCCTCCATGATAGGACGAAACACATTGAAGTGGACAAACATTTCATTAGAGAGAAACTTGTAAGTGGAGAAGTGTGCACCCCATATGTCAACTCAGAAGAACAATTTGCAGACATCTTCACCAAAGGCCTTCATCATGTGCGGCATAATGATTTGTGTGACAAGTTGGGCATGATTGACATCTATGCTCCAACTTGAGGAGTGTTAAAAGTGTTAAAATAATTGATTTTATGTTTGTTAGGGTCTGCTTGGCTGATTAAAGCCTTTTTTATTTTAATCTATTATTGTACTATCACTTAGTAGGGGCATAAGGGTCATTTCCCATCTTATTTTTTCGCCCTATATATTATAATGAAGCTGACGCCATCGGTACTGTTCTATTGCCTCAACACTTCTTCCTTCTTCTCTTCTCTTTGTTGTAACCTTCAATCAAATTTACTGTGAAGAATTACTATCAGAACAAATATGGCTAGTAAACTGGTTCTATAAATTGTTGAGCTATGACAAAGCATCCTAGTGGATTACTCGAAAATAAAAATAAAAAATCAGTGAGACACTGATAGCTAAGTTCTAACAATATAGTTTTTGAATTGCCCTTAATGTTACTTATTTCTTCTTTCTTTTTTAATGCTTTGTTCTACCACCATCAGAAAAGAGAGACACAAAAAACTTTCTATACATGGATGCCAATGCCATGACTACGATTTATATCTCCCCAGATTCATTCAAGTTTCCCACTTATATGATGATTTCTGCCATAAATTCTTCCACTAGCCAATAAATTCAATCAATCATAAAAAAATGCCAATAATTGCCACAGCATATTGCATGCTGATGATGAACAAAGAAYTGCTTGATAGATTTGTGGTAAGTTGGAGAAAAGCACCAAAGGATTAGCTAGATAGCCACAACTGCAATTCCAGATGATTTTATGTCCATTGTGCCTGTGTTTAAATTTGAATAGCTGAGGTCGATTTCCTTGCTCAAGCAAGAGGTTTCTTCAAGCCTGCTTTCAGGTATGTAGTATGAATCTTTGACCAAATGATGGACCAACTCTCAGACTCAAGTAAACCAGTTTGTTGTGTATGTATAATACAAACACACACACAATAAAGATCAATTTGGCAATATTAGAAGATGGGTATGTATAATTCCTTCTTTCTTATTGTATGTATAATTCCTTCAATTTGTTGTGTATGTATAATTCCTTCTTTCTTATTCCCCATCCCYCCAGCTGGGGGTTCTCCTTGCTTATGCAAGAGACATGTTTCATTTAAGTGCTTTTAGAACGTAGGCCATGGGACATTAGATCCCCTCAGTCACATGACACAAGTTTACCATGCACATAATATATGCATACATGAGAAATTTCAAATAGTTAAACCATGTTAAAAACATAATACGATGGCACCATGAATTTATTAGAGCATACCGTTGTCAATTTGTTCAATATGCCATCAATCTGCATGAAGTATGCCTGCATAAATTTGCAACAAGCAAGACTGAACTTTTAGTTTTAATCAAGCATGAATAACAAACAAGTAGGTTACTGTTATAACCTCGAGCAGCATTTCCAGCTCCTCAACATCATTTTCATCTCCACGAATTGTTGCAGCACTAGCCCTACTTGCTCTGGATATCTTTGAAGCTATAGTAGGGGAAGCGGGGATCCAACTGGGTGCAACTGAACCACTGACAGGTGAAGAAGGCCCAGCCAATTTCCTAGATAGGTAAAGGTCCGCCATATCATCATCGTCATCTAGAAGTTGTTCAAGCTCATCCCTTACCTGGAAAGAGCAAAATATTTGCTTAGAAAACAAGTATCTGAATATGGACAACATTCAAATTCTTGTCTGTTTTACAATACTGAGGACTTCAACTCATAATAAAATAATGTTAGAAGTTGACATATTCATATAAGAGATATAGAGTGAAAAGACAATCAATAAACTAAAGCATATGAATATATGATCACAAGGAGAGGTATGTCCATTACATATACTACTGTCCTAAATTCCATACGCAGCAACATGTAACATGATTTAATATAGGGCAAAGCACAGATGAAAATTATCTAAACATGCATGACTAAAGGTTTAGATATCAAAAGTGGTTTCTCTTGTCCAAATTACCTAGACATAAAACCATGCAACATGTAGATTGAAGTAAATGAAATATTTTCTTAAACCTCAAAGGCATATAAGGCATACAGTACAGGAAAAAAAAAGCAAACCAACAAACCTTCAACGATTCAGTATGTGAAGGTGAAAAACACATTTTAAAGCCCTCTTATCCTGAAAATGACTCTAGAGTCTTTTCTTATGCAAGGACAATGCCCTTTGACAAAACAAGTACTTACCACTTTACCAGGAAATATACAACATTTTTCTTTCTAAAAGATCTTTTGCAACAAAAGTTAAAACAAGGCTTCCATACAATAAGACTTAGGATAGCCCTTAAGCAAACTCAGATAGTTGGGACCACCATTGAGTAATGGGCTTTTTTTTATCAATAACAGTGAATTTTATTAAATATTGAGAAAGTACATAAATAAGGAGCTAAAAAAACTTAACTCCCTAATACATCAAAGTACAGCCAACCATAACCAACTACAAAACAGCCCAAAAAATTGAGTTTCTGTTCATCCCTTGCCTAGCTAAGCCATTTGCCAATGAGTTTGCACTTCTCTTTACCCATGTACAGCTAACTTCCATGTCCTTACTCAGCCACATAAATTTCCTCTTTTCATTGTTGTAGTTCCAGAGCTTGGAGTTGTCCTCTTTTAACCAGTTCACCACAATTTCAAAATCACCTTCTACGATCAATTTCTTAATATGCGTGTCTTTGACCCTTTGTACTCCTTCAAGAGCTCCTAATATCTCAGCCCTCAAGGAGTCTCCCACCCCAATTGGGCCAGAATAGATAGCTAACAGATTCCTTTTTTCATCTCTTATCACTCCCCCTATTCCAGAGGGCCCTGGATTGCCCAAACTACTGCCATCAAAGTTCAGTTTGATAAACCCGCTTGGTGCAGGGGTCCAACAAGAAATTGAAGCTTTCTTACCTGAAGTTGATTCTGCAATTTCCTTCCAATTCCTTAGCATCTCATCAACTGAGAACTCAGCAAACAATTCCAAAGTTTAACCAATGTATCACCCTAATGTGAATAATCTCCAATATTACTTCCAAGCTTCTCTCTTTGTCTAGAAAGATCCGCGAATTTCTCTCCTCCCAAACAGTCCAACAAGCTGCAGCCCTTACACATCTCCACATAACCTTTGCCCTTTTTGTTGAGCAGTTGGGCAAGGAAGTGAATAAGCTTTGCACATTCAAAGGGAGAGCCCACCTGATCCAGGGAGAGAAAACGGGCAAAGTAGCTTGAATAGCTTTCCAAGGGGATGCCGACCACTACATAAGCCGCTGGCGGAGAAAGCTCTTCGAGCTTCCCTTCATTCTTTGCTAAGCCAAGGTCCCAAGTCTCCGAGTCAGCGAGAGCAGTCCTTGCTAGAATCCCAGAGTTCCATCCATTGTCTGCCGCCCCATGAATACTTCCCACTATCTTTACCCAAAGTTTTTCTTTCTCCAATGAAAATCTCCATAGCCATTTCCCTAATAATGCTAAGCCACCCCATTAGCTTTAGCCATAAAAGAATACCACAAACCATCTGATTTTTTTCCAGGATGTACAAATCAATAATAATGGTAATTGCCAGCCTTGTATAATGGAAGAAAAACCAGGTCCTGTTAGACCACTGGACTGGTGATATCACTCTAAAAGAGTTGTTCCCAGCCTTGTATAATGTGGCTTTAGATAAGGAGGCCTTAGTGGCTGATTCTCTGATGATCCAGGAAGGCAGGCTATGCTGGGTTCCTCCCTTTAGGAGAAGTTTTAATGACTGGGAAATTAAGCAGGTGGCAGACCTTCTTAATCTGTTACAAGGCCAGCAGCTAAATTTTCAGACGCAAGACTCAAGAGTTTGGAAATGGTAAAAGTCTGGAGAATTCTCAGTTAAATCTTTCTACAATTTTCTAGTGGGAAAGTCTGAAGTCCTTTTTCCCAGTCAGGCCATTTGGGGGAATTTGGCTTCTCCAAAAGTCAAGTTTTTTGCATGGGTGGCAGCTCTGGAGAGGTGTTTGTCCAAAGAAATGTTGCTGAAAAAAGGCTTTAACTTGTCAGATTGGAGGTGCTGTTTTTGCAATGTGCAAGTAGAATCCTCCAGGCATATCTCTTCCTTCACTGCAAATTTAGTTCTGCAGTTTGGACTCACTTCTTGAAATCCCTGAACCTAAGCTGGTGCATGCCAGCCTTAGCTAGAGCTCTGTTAGAGGAATGGCATATTCAGGGGCTGTCTAAGAAAGGAAAGTTATGCTGGTCTTCCATCCCTCCAGCAGTTCTGTGGGCTGTGGGCTCAGAAAGAAATAATAGGATATTTGAAAAAAAAATCTTCTACTGAAGCTGAGGTCATTAACTTGGCCATAGAGGCTATTAGAAGTTGGATGTCTATACATACTTATTTTAGAGACAGTACTTCTGATTATACTTTTTTGATGATGGCCTTTTTTTGAGGTCCATTTTGTACAGCTTCTCAATGTGCAGAGGACCTTTTATTAATATAATCATACTTTACCTTTTCTTAAAAAAAACAAATAATGGTAACTGCCGATTTTATTTATTCAATCAAGTATAAATGACATTACACCACGATAAAGTGTGTTACAACCCTACGAAATTATAGATATATTGACAAATTAGCCCAAAAATCTCATCCCTATTTATCCCTTGTTTGGAAAGTGTATCAGCCAGGTCATTTGCTGCTCTTCTAACACATCTGCATCTGACTCCCGTTTCTTTTGCTATATTCCTTACCTCTTGCAAAACTGTTCTGTTATTCCAAACTCCCAAACCGTCCATTATCATCCAGTTTACAACTAACAAAGAATCACCTTCCACCTCAAGTGCTGTGAAACCTAGCTGTTTTGCAATCCTCAACCCTTGCTGTAATGCCAATATTTCTGCCCCCAAAGAGTCTCCATGATTAAGTGTCCTCGGTATAAGGCCACAATTCTGCCTTCATGGTTTCTGAAAGATCCACCTATTCTAGAAAGTAAGGGATTACCACTAGAGCTACCAACAAAGTTCAGTTTGAGTCTATTATGTTCTGGTGGAGTCCAGTCCTCGTGTGTGGAAGAATCTGCCACCACTATCCACTCCCTAATGATGTCACCCACTGAATAATCCTTGAAAAACTGCAATGTTCACTCAGTGTGCTACCACGACAGTTATATTTTCAATAATATCCTCCCTGGTTTTCACCTTCTCTTGGAATATTCTATTATTCCTTTCCTCCCTACTTATGCATAGTACCAATAGGTCAGGGTTTAGGTTAAGTTGGGAATGCCCAATCTGTAACCTGGGGGGACAGGGGCAGCATGGTAGGGTGGGCTCATTAAAAGAAAAAGCAATTGGACACGATCTCCATCTGGCCCATTATTATAACCTTGGGTAGCGGCCACAAATAGATGCTGACAGTGACAACTAATACTGGCATAGATTACACCAGTTTATAAATTGCCCAATCATGGATAAATATTGTAAATAGCTAGGAAAATAAGGAAGCAGATTTGCTTCATATAATTTTTCTTTTTTTATCAATGAAAAATTTATTAATAATATCCTAGGGATGCTTGTATGGCTTTGAAGATTTGCTTCAGATTATTATCAGCAGTATGTTTTATTATGTAACTCATCTTGTTGTAAAAGAACTTGATAGCCCATACACTCTATTAGGCCTCTAGTCAGGGTTAGGATAACCGATCAAAAAAAAGAGAGATATGATACTTGCCCAATTAATTATGCTCATACAAGACCAATCCATTTGATTTACTATATAGATATATATTGTTGGTCTAGTTCCCTTTCCTCTGTCGGGACTCAGGACTAAGATTGCCATTGATTCCCATATCTGCTTATTGCAGCAAAATGCTTGTATCCGTCAGAAATGGTTAAAAACATCACTAGGATTGAGGTACCTACTCAAGGATCCCTACGGCACTAGGATCTAGGTGATCAGTAGCTATTAGGCAATCACTCATAACAATGTTAATTGTGTAAAAACTCTGATTTATCAAAATAATGAAAATTTTGATTAAATGCTACATTATATAATCATGATTAACTACTTACAAAGTATAGTTAGCTTCTTCATCAGTAACTGCAATCAAATTTTATTGATCAAATGCAGAAAGGACTCATCATTCCACATGGTTTAGAATGAGGGAACCATAACAAAGAAAAAGGCAAAGGCTGCCATACAAACGCTTTAAAGATAGAAGTTGTAGTCGTATGAGACTACTAACAGCCCAAGCTGTGGTGTATAATCAACAGGAAATTAAGAAGATGAGAGGAGAGAATGAGAGGAGAAAGAGAGAAGAAGAGAAGAAGAATTCGAAGGGTTTTAGAAAAGAAGAGGATGCTTAATCTGCCACCCCCCCCCCCTCTTTCTATTTATATTAATTCTTAAGTAAGGATAAGACTGCTTACATGGCAAAAATAAAATCCTAATAAAAGACTAATAACTAATTGAGGACTGACTTAAATAACTAATAGTTGTATACGAGTACAATAGAAAGAGGTGGGGACCACATCAGTGGTTTCTACACTCGCCCTCAAGTTGGGTATAGATGTTTGTCATTCCCAACTTGCATAGATCTACTTCTAACTTCTTCTTTGAAACTGCCTTGGTGAGAAGATCGGCAAGCTGCATGTTGGAGCTGATATATGGAAGACAGACTTATTGAGATGCAACCCTTTCCCTAATAAAATGTCGATCCACTTCAATATGCTTGGTTTTGTCATGTTGTAACGGGTTATGAGCTATATTAATAGCAGCCTGATTATCATAGTACAACATTAGAGGTTTGTCATAGGTAATACCCAATTCATCAAACAGTGATTTCAACCATAGTATTTCAGCCACACCATTTTCCATTGACCGATATTCAGCTTCAGCACTGGAACAAGAAACAACATTTCGTTTCTTACTCCTCCAAGAAACAAGGTTACCTCCTACAAAGGCACAATATGCAGAGGTAGACCTTCTATCATCAACACAACCGGTCCAATCTGCATCTGTGTAAACTTCTATCTTCATGTGCTTAATCTGCCGCCCCCCTCTTTCTATTTATATTAATTCTGAAGTAAGGATAAGACTGCTTACATAGCAAAAATAAAATCCTAATAGAAGACTAATAACTAATTGTGGACTGACTTAAATAACTAATAGTTGTATACGAGTACAATAGAAAGAGGTGGTGACCACATCAGTGGTTTCTACAGAAGCAATTTTACAGATTCAATCCTGGACCTAGCACCACCCAATCTAACTCTAGTCCGGTCCCCCTGCAAGTATAGTTAGAACAATTAAGTACTATTTTCAAAGGTAAAGGTTTTTCAAAGCTTAGAACAGATTGGAGGAGATTCAGATGGACAAAGATACAGAACTAAGAAAAAGATATGGAAATGGGCTATAAATTTTAAAAGGTGTACTGGTACTTGTTTCTACCATGATGCAAATATATGCATGACCAAAATTTAGTACATCAATGCCTTCAATTCTCTCCAATTAAATAATTGAACTCAACTCCTACATACATGAGATCACCTGCACAAATCCCACTTTCTGTTTATCAAAGGTCATACCCCCTGTCAAATTTTAACTCTTTGAATCTTCTTTTTATCTAAAACCATGTCCCTTTCAGCCTTTTATCATCCCTTCTACAGTTCTAGTACCATGAACTTGCATCAATTCAGACCTTAAGTATAGTAGGTGGTATTCCATTCACATGCCCAGTCCATTTTCCCCCATTTTATTACCTATAGGAGCTACTCCTAGATTCCTTCAGATGCATCTGTTTCTAATTCAATCCATTATAGTTGCCATTCATCGCTCCCAAGGTCCTCGTCTCCATTATAAACAAATTGCTTTTTAATTGTCCACTTCTGCTGCATATAATCATAAGCGGAATTATATCCACCTCTTCTGTACTTAATTCCTTGAAATTAAAACATATTTAATTTAACTTTGGCCTTCTAGAAGATAGCTTCTCTTAAAAGGCTAGCAATGCTTAGGTCAGCCAAACTCTACATGGATGTCCTTTTAACTTCCATCTCAAGGATAAATAGGCAACAGAAGTATATTAATATTAATTCATCATTATCATCTAAGCTCTGTCCCATCTATATGGGGTTGGCTACATGAATCCTGTTTCGCCATCCATTCTGTTCAGTACCATATCCATTGTTAAATTATGAGTGCTTAAATCATTTCTTATAACTTCCACCCAAACCCTTGTCGGTCTGCCCCTAGCTCTTGTAGCCCCTTAACTTGTAACAGCTAACACTTTTGGACATGTCATTTCTTAAGTGCATGCTTTGCCTGAAGCCTCATATGTCTCATTATCAAATACATAACTAACATCATGCAGTAACAGAATAACACCATTAATGCTGGCCAAGCCCCAAAAACACAAAATATGGATAAATACAAGAAAAAGGCATGTAAACTAAATAGGTTAACTTGATCTAATTTCCAAAGATACAATAAAGGGCAATAGTCATACCTTCTGGACCCGAGCAGTCAACCTTGTCATTGCACTCTTCAATTTACGAACACGATCCAAGTTACGGCTACTAATCTGCATGTTATGGTAATTGTGTAACATAAAGCTTAAAACAGTACATATATATATATATGAAGAACAAAAACATAATGACAAGAGGTCCTTGACTAGGTGATTCAATCAATTGAATATTGCTCCTATGCTATATGGGGCCACATCTAATAAGCACAATCAATTGAATATTTGCTCCTACACTAAATGGCTTGAACACACATGCATAACTGCCACAGTGATCTGGCACAATATTTATAAAGTGCAGGAAAAACATCAAAAGACCAAAACCAAACTCTGGAATCTTTTCTCTAATCAATAAAGAGAAGCATATTTATTGAAAAAAAAAAACGGCAAAGAGTGAAACAGGAAAAGCCTAAGATATCTGATTTATAAACTTGTAGATCATCATGATTGTCCTTCATCATTTCTGCTTCATTAACTAACAGGGATGTCACCTCACAACAGCCAAAGGAAAAGACAGGACATAGCCTTGAAGAAGCCCTCTAAAATAAAGTATATAACAGGGGGAAATATCTAAGATATCCATAGAAGAAAGAAGGGAAAAAGAAATGGAAGAGAAAGAGAGGAAGGGAGGAAGAGCAAAACTGTGTTTGTTTCCTTCAAGCAGAACATGAGTTTTGTGGTTAACAAAACACAATCACAGGCCTTTTATATATAGACCTCACATATTAAATTCAAGCTTCCTGACCATGGTTAGGGCATATTTCAAATCAATGTCTTCATATGCTTTCACCAGCAGAGTAATGCTGCAAAACTGGTGATCACAGTAGAAATGTGGTTAAACAAAGCATATGGCTGAAGGAGGGGAACATCTTCCACAAAAGAAGTGGTATGTTCAAAGGAAGCTTGAGAGGTGAAGGCAAGGAAACACTTCCTATGAGGCATCCTAGTTGAAAGGTTTCAAAATGAGGCAGAGGGAGTGGAAAGAGTGGAGACAACAGAACCCTGGCAACTGGAGCATGAAATGGAAGTGAAGATGTTAATTTAAGGGCTGTTCCTATTCATACTATTGTCAAGAGGAGCAGTGACAATCTTAAACCAAGATACCTAGTTCATGGGGAATAATAGGTTACTAATAGACAGTGGAACAGGAGAACAAGATGCACCACAAATGAACAGTTGGGAGAGGCAACAGGGGAGGAAATAGTTTGGATATGAGTATATGGTCTTCCCCTGATTTTATGGAGACTAATGATCATTCAGGCAAAAGAGGACCACTGTAGGGGGCTTCATTAGGATATAGGACTCAAAAGGAGAGATTGTAATGTGTGAATGGGTGCAGATCCAAGTAAAAAGAAGGGGACTGTTCCAGTGACATACTGACAGTAAACTTGATTGTTGACAATGTGCCGTACACAATGACAATATGGTTGGAACTTAAACCTTTAGTGACCCTGGTGACAATGTGCTGTACACAATGACGAGGGTTACTTTGTAGCTATGAAGAGGAATCCTTTGACTTCTTCACAGATATGACCAAAAGCTCAATAACATATCACCATGCGCAGATGAAATCTCAGGTGTCAGAGAGGAGGAAGACTGTCCCAACCTGCTGGAGCACAAGAGGAGAGAAAGGGATGGCAGAAAAAGCATGGGGAAGAAGGGGGAGGAAAATCAGATGGCTAGAGAAGAAGAAGATATAGATCTAAATACAGACTGTCAAAAAATTGACACACTGATCAGTTCAACAGGTACAGCAGATGGCAGTTTTTAAATTTTAAATGAGAGAGAGAGAGAGATGTGGCAGGTATCTAAGGAATTGAAATCAAGGATCAAAATATTGATACAGGCTGATATGCTGGATGGGGCACATTGGCCTGTATCTTTGGTCGCCTTCTTTTATTTAGTTTTTTTTTTTTTTCAAACTGGGTTCAGGGGCGTCGGTTTAAGGCACATCTACCCCCTGAAACAGGTGGGACCCCGAAACACTCAGTGTAGGGTGCCTAGGGGCATATTGGAGAGTCACCGATACGATGCGTATCGGCCAATATGCCCCAATACGTTGGCAATATTTTGAATCTTTGATCCTTGATTGAAATTACTTATCAAGGAGAGATATCACCTTCCACGTTTACAAGCTTAGAAGGTTTGCAACAAAGAGGAAAAGATACAACGGTGAAATTGATGGAGAAGGTTCTTCAGCTAATAACAATGACAGGTAAAAGGACAGAAAGCAGGGGTGAAAGGCTAGCAGCAGTGAAGCACTGAAACCCAAAAGGAAAAAATTGGATATCCAAAACAAAGGTCGGCTAAGAACACAGGAAAGAAGCATACACACCACTCAGCAGCAAGATAGATCAGCGGTGACAGAAAGGAAGGGGAAACAAATCATGGACGCATCGCCACAATCAGAATATATCTCAGAGGAGGATCCATTTCTTCAATTTGCTTCAGACCAGAGTTTTTCCCTTTTATGCCCTAGAAAGACTGGTGCATTTCAAATTAGCTGAAACTATCACAGAATTGGAAAGCTTAAGAAGAGATAACAAGAACCCGAAGAGGAAAATGAAAGAGTGCAAGCAAAGGCAAAGCTTCAGAGTTTAAAAGAACTTTTGCAGAGGTGGTGACAGGTGTGTTAAATGCAAAACCAGACTGTCAAGGCTCTTGGATTGGTGGGACTGACAAGGGGGCTGAACAGAGAGAAGTAAAGGTCACTTCAAAAGTCCAAGGAGAGAATGGGCCTAAACAGACTTTAAGTAAAGCAATAAATGGGCCTTCAAAGGGGCTTTTGAAGCAGGACAAGTGTTTGGGTTTGCAAAGTGGGCCATCAGATGGGCCAGGCGGGATAAGTGGTAAAGGGCCAGGTGGGACAAGTAGAATTGGGCCAGGCAGATTAGAGAGGAGGTCACGTGACCCTTTAAGTAACCATGTGACTTTAGAAAAAGACAAAAATAAAGGGGACAATAACTTGGGTGTATCATCGTCCCCTATCCAACCTGTTTCGAGTCCTCCCCAGCCGAGAAGCTCTGTTATGGAGAAATTTGAATGGAGGCCAAGGCTGGTCTGCTACTCAACCACCCCTGAACGACAAAATCCGAGGTTTGATAGAAACAAAGAGGAAGATGGAGATTTTGACTTGGATTGGGTAAGCTGTGAAGAGGAGAATTCAGAAGAAGAGTCTAGTATCGGCAGCACTAAAAGCAGTGCACGGAATGTTCTTCTGGAGGATGTAGATTTAGGAACAAGGCTACTCTTCGAAAACTCTTTGCTGACCCCAACCAAACTTCCTTTGGAACCTCAGAAGAGCGACAGTTTGAAAAGTTCTCCCTTGAGAAGAGAAAACACCCCCATTCAAAGGCAGAGTAGATCCTTCCCTTTCTGAGAGACAAAACCAGGGTGTTCGTAGAGAATTTACAATTTCTCATTGCTCGGAAACAAAAGCTGTAGACGGCTCCCCTTCCCCTGCTAGTTGTTCGAAGGTTAGATTGGAGGAGAACTACCCCAACATCGGCCTTGTTCAGAGTCAGCCTTCTTCGCATGACAGTCCTTTGTTTCTGGGTTTTGGTATGGTTTGTCAATTTTTAGATAATTCTGTCTGTGTTTCAGCTAACCCTCCCCACCCTCCTATGTTTGTGGTCCAGCCTTCAGGTGACACCTATTCTTGTCCAGCAACTGCCAATCCTAGTGTCATTGGAGGCAACAGAAGTGTTAGGAGATATTGAGGTTGTAGAGGATCGTAAGGAGGAAGGGGAGAGAATCTGGGAGATAATAATGCAGCTCTTTGATCAGTTGGTTCAGGTAGAAATACAGTCTAGAAGGTTTGGAGGAGGAAGGTAGTAGTCCAAATCTAAAGTGCTTGAAGGAGGAGAAGGAAGAAAGAAAGAGGGGGTTGAAAGTCAAAAACACGAGGAAAAAACAGGAAAAAACAACAGGGAGAAAGGAAAAGATTAGAAAATAAGGAGTTAGAACCTTCAAAAAAAGGAAAGAAAAAGATGAGTAAGGTGGAGAGGCTGAGATGTGGAGTTGGTTATGAAAAAGGAGGTACAAGCAGAAAGGAAAGGAAATTGGGTTAAGTTAAGAAAAAACTGAAGGGTCTCAACATCTGATTTTCCCATGAAAATAATCAGTTGGAATGTTAGGGGGTTGGGGAGTCAAAGAAAAAGAAGGGTGATTAAGGAAGTTTTTAGAAAAGAAAAACCGGATATTGTTCTAATTCAAGAAACAAAGTTGGAAGAGGTGGATAGAAGATGGGTTAGAAGTTTGTGGTCAGCTAAAGGTTTAAGTTGGGCTTGTGCACAGTCGTGGGGAGCCTCAGGAGGCATCCTAACAATCTGGAAGAATGAGGAGATGGACTGCATTGAAGAACTGATTGGCAACTTTACAGTCACAGTGAAGTTTAGGAGGAAAGAGGATGGATTAGAATGGGCTTTAACTAATGTCTATGGTCCAAATTTATAGAGGGAAAGCGAAGACTTTTGGGAAGAACTGGCAGCCAGGAGTGGGCCTTGGTGTTTGGGGGGAGATTTTATTGTCATTAGATTTCTGAACGAAGAAACAACGAATCCTAGCCATAGGATCACCTCTAGCATGAGGAAATTCAACCTTCTTGTGGAGTCCTTTGAGCCAAGAGAGCTGCCCATGCTACAAACCAGTTTCACTTGGTCCAACTTTCAAGAAGAACCCCTGTCCAATTAGGCTCTTCCTAGACCAACTTCGGATCACTGTCCAATTAGGCTCTCACAAGAGAAATTAGGAGGACCTTGTCTTCGTTTTGAGAACATGTGGCTACTTCATCCTGAATTTCTAAAGAAAGTACAACAGTGGGGGGAAGAAGATCAGGTGGAGTTCAAATGGAAAGGTTATAGATTCTACAAAAAGCTACAAGTTCTAAAAGCTAGGATAAAAGAGTGGAACAAAGAGGAGTTTGGAAGAGTCAAAGAGAGAAAAGAATGGATTGCTAAAAGGATTCAGGAAATTGATATAGAGGGAGCAGAGAGAAGATTAAGAGTAGAAGAAAGGGGAGAAAGGTGGAACTTGAAATAAGAATTAGAGGAWATCTT